GCAAATTAATTTTGTTTTGTAGAGCAGTTTGGCTTTTATCCTACCATTGAAGGATTTTAAGCCAGAGAGTGACACGCCCAGATCCGTGTTTGAGCACCATCACTTGAGACTTCCAGAGATGTATGGAACATGGGTTTGAGTGGGACAGACCCAAGGCTAGACTAGGATCCCAGTTAAGGAGCTAGAGCTTGGGTCAAGGCAGGATATGGTGAGGGGCTGCCTGAGGAAGGGGCGGAACTGAGAGGCACTGAGAGATAAGGCTGGTCCTCATTAGATTAAGGTGAGTCCAGCGCTGCCAGAAGTACCTGTAAAGTACAGACGTGGCACAGGAAAGGAGTCATTGTTGGGATGTGGGGAGGTTAGGGAAGACTTCAAAGAGGAGGTGACATATGACAGATGAGCCGGAGTTGGCCTGATGCTCAAGAAAGGGGAAGGCACCCCCAGGAAGCTAGCAGCCCTGCAGAGGCCATCCAGGCCATTGGAGCTCTGGGAGTAACTGGGCATGGCCAGAATATACCACTCAAGGAAAGGCATGAGGAGGGGTTGGAGAAATAAGCAGAGACCAAGCTCAGAAGGGATCAGGATTTCATCTGGAGGCAATGAGGAAGCATTAAAAGCTGGTTTGTAAAGTGGAGACATGTCGCTCGCCAGTCCAGACAATTCGCCCAAAAGCACACATTTCCCTACAGAAACCGAGAGAGCTGCTGGCAAGCATGAAGCAGCACAGACAGCGTGGTTCATGGCATTTATCTGAGGACCTCTTGTTCCCTTGTCAGGTATGGAGGAGTTTCCATCGGAGGAAAGCTGCCAGTTCTCCCCATCACTGGGAAAGCACTTGTTGGATTTTTAAGCGACCTTGGCCAAATAATGAATGTGAGCGGGGTATGTAAACAGACTGGAGATTTGGATAGGACTTTGAATGTGCCATGAAACAGAAATGATCATGAGTGCTAAGGTGGGGAGGAGAGGGGAGAAAAGCCCTCTCATTTGTTCATTATGGTTTTCTAGGGCCCTATCACCAGAGCGGCCTCTAAAGAAATGTCTGCTTTCCTTAAACACCTAGAAACTGAAGACAACGTTAAGGTACTCGTCCTGCGTCACCTGCCCTAGAGCTAAAAATTCATGTGAGCTGATTACTTTATTTTTATTTTCCCAGCTTCATTAAATTCCAGCCCTTCTCCTGTTGAAATCTAGCATGGAATGTCTTCCAGCTGCCAAACCCTTCCTCCCCCTCACATTCTTTTTCCTGCAGTTTGTTTTTCTTTAAACAGCTATTGTTAGCACAGCGCCCCTGGTGTCCTGTCCAGTCCAGCCTAACAAAGCCCGTCTCCGCCCGCTAGGTGTGGTTTAATAACAAGGGCTGGCACGCCATGGTCAGCTTTCTCAACGTGGCCCACAACGCCATCTTACGGGCCAGCCTGCACCAGGACAGGAACCCGGAGGAGTACGGCATCACGGCCATCAGCCAGCCCCTGAACCTAACCAAGGAGCAGCTCTCAGAGATTATAGTGTAAGCTGCCACGGCCTCCAGCCTCATGGCTCTCTTCTTAGCCTCTCTTCCCTTTGGATACTCTCAGAGGGTTTTCCCTAATGTGAACTGCTGGGCTGGATGGCAAGGTTGTCAATCAGGCAAATGTGAATGTTAAGACTTCCAACACCGCGTATACCAAACTGCTTGGCCATTCTTTCTCCTCGTATTTATTAGGAAAGTAAGCATGTATTTGGTTCCGTTCCCTTTTGGCTCTTGATAAGAACTTGCTCCTGGAGCGTACACAAATACTCTCCTTTCCAGTATGCAAAATGACTGCCAGGAACTGGGAAAGTTCAGTAAATCTTTCATCTCCCCAGCAGTAATTATCTCAGATTCTGGTAGTTTCCCTCAGATGGTCAGGCTTCGGAGATGTCGACGGATCCTTGCCTTCCTCCATCTTAGGCTCTTCCGGCGCAGCTTCAGGCAATAAAAACATTTATCTTGTGCAATTTGTAGTATGTTTGGTGGGAATGTCTGAGTTAGTACACATTTCTGGTAGGCAGTAGGGTCCTCATTTTCCTATCCCCATATACTCTGAGTGCCCTCAACACTGGGCCCTGAACATGCCAAGTGTCATCGGCTAGAAATTGGGCCCTAGCCCCTTGGGGCTTACCTCTCACAGCCTCTGGGGCCCTCAACTAAAGAAGGGACATAGCCTGTCCTGTGTTTATTCTCACTCAGCCCAGGTTTCTGTACCTTCTGCCAAGTCTTTTTAATCTGAAATATGAAATAGGACTCTTTTGTGATTGTAAAATAGTATATGTTCATTAAATAAAGTTTAGAGAATAGAGTTTTAAGAACTTAGTATCTATAACCCTACACAGTTTAAGGTATTTGTTCTAAACATTTTTGTGCATTTCCCTTTCTGTCGTTTGTTTTACTCTTACTACGTGTGTGGGTCCTGCTGTCTCTATTATAGTTTTATCAGGACAGTGATTAGCACATGTGGTACCTCTGTGGGAATTAGTAAAAGGTGCTTCTTTCACTAGGTTGGCACTGTCCCACGCGAGGTTTGTGACTTATATGTGAAGCTCAGGTTGGATTTCAGTCCACACTTGCCCCCTTTAGCCGGGTGCCTTCCACTTGATTCAGGAAAGGGGGAATAGAGCCAAGTCCTGTATAATTGGCCTGTTCTCTTCTCACTTAAACTTATATTATAAGTATTTCCCCATGTTATGATGTATTTCCTGAAAATATATTTTAACAGGATAATTTACTTCTTTTAACAAAAGAAATACATTTTATAGACCATATGACCGTTGGCATATAAAATTCAAGAGCATCTATAGACAAATTATTAGAGCTGATATGAACATTGCAGTATATGAGATTAATACAAAAATCCAGTTCTATATACCATCAACAGATAATTTGAAAATGTAATAAAGTTTATTGAGACTTTCATATTAACATGGGACCATATGCAACATGAACGTTAATGTTCATATTTAATATTAACATGGAACAGGAAACCCAAAAATATCCACTTAACCTGAACATAGTTTAAAACAATTGAATGAAATGACAAACATCAGGCTAGGGAAGGGGATTTTAAAAGCTGTTACCTGGGGTTAGGTGAGGCCTCCCCAGCGCCTGACTTTGTTCTCCTGCGTCTGCTTCTCCTTCTTCATATCTCTCTCTCTCTCTCTCTCTCTCTCTCTCTCTCTCTCTCTCTCTCTCTCTCTGTCTCTCTTTCCTCCCCACCACTACTCCCCCCACCCTGCTGCAGGCTGACCACTTCGGTGGATGCTGTGGTTGCCATCTGCGTGATTTTCGCCATGTCTTTTGTCCCAGCCAGCTTTGTCCTTTATTTGATCCAGGAGAGAGTGAACAAAGCCAAGCACCTCCAGTTTGTCAGCGGAGTGAGCCCCACGGCCTACTGGCTGACCAACTTCATCTGGGACATTGTAAGTGTCAGGTCATGGCACCTCCCTTGCCTCCATGGACCCAAGAGGGGTGGGTGCTGTGTCTGCTCTGACTGAGGGGACCCAGCAGGATGGGGCTCTCACACTGCCAGGGCTGCTGGAAGGTGCTGTGTCAAGGGCCTTGTGTATCTGTCTCTTGACATCTTCTTAGAAAGGTGCAGAACTAGGAGCCTCGAGCTGGGGAAGGATATGGGGCTTAGCTTAACAACTGCTGTGTGGGGGCTCTGCGTGCCCTGCCCCAAAGGGCCTTCTGACCCACCAAATAATCACTGCATTGTAGGTGTGAGGCTGGCCTTCCTGGGAGGTAATACAAGCCATCCTTCAGCTCACATGCTCTTCTTAAATCCTGCCCCACCCCCAAAGGGGTAAGGATGGAACTTCCCCTGTGGCAGAGATACCTGATACATATGGGACACCCAGTTACATTTGAATTTCATATAAACAATGAGTAATTTGTAGTGTATGTTCCACTCAAGTTTCATCAACTGCCCAAAAATGTCTTCTTTTGTAGAAAAGGGTCTAGCTCAGGATCATGCATTGGATTTAGTTGTCCTGTCTCTTCAGTCTCCTTCCGCCCGATATGGTTCCTCAGTCTTTCCTTGACACTCATGACCTTGACATTTTTGAAAAATCACAGGTCAGTTATTTTGCAGAATGTCCTTCAGTTTGGATATTCCCCATGCTTTCTCATGATTAGATTCAGGTTACGGCCACAGAATCACAAAGCGGTGCTCTGTTCTCACTGCATCCTATCATGTAGATTCTGCTCTTAATTTGTCCTCTTACTGATGGTGGTCCCTTTGGTCACTTGATGAAGATGGTGTCAGCCTAGTTTCTCCACTGTAAAGTTACTCTCCTCTTTATAATTTATAAGAATTTGAGGAAGAGATACTTTGAAGCTATGCAAATGTCCTGTTGTCACACTTCCCATTTATTCACTTACTTATTTATATCTATATGGAATCATGTTTCCTGTGTTAGTCAATGAATTACAATCTGATACCACTATTATTTATCCTGATACTCTAATTATCCCCAGTTTGTGAGAGCACCTTCAAGCTGGCGTCTGTCTCCTCTTAACTTGTGTCCCCATCTTCCTTGAGCACCTCCAAACTCTCTGCCACAGCAAGAAATTCTGGGTTCATCCTCTACGTCCCCCGAGCCCTATGTGAAATCTACCATTCCCTCCAAAGAGCCCTGGTTCCTTTCAGTGGAAAATGGCTCTCAAAACCAAGATCTGGGTACTAGATATGTTCATTCCCACTGGGGTCTCAATGGTCCCAAGCCTTCTCATTGGAGACAATAGGGGAGATACATATGTATATACGTAGATAAACACACACTTATATCTATATTTCTATATTTATCTATATACCAAACATTATGAGCTCACTCAAACCTCTAGTTCCAAGCCAATGCCACAGGTTCATTCTGACTTTCTGTCTTTCCATATTTGTAACTCCCTTCTCCAAGAATGAGAAGCTGGCTCCTATCACCCCTGGCTTCTGTGATTTACGTATCTGAACAATACACCTGTATGTAAGAAGTCCCCCATCTTCTGATACCATCTCCTCCCCCATGTGGACACCCTTCTCTCCCTGCTCCAGCTGCCCCCCACATAGAGGTCCTCCTCCTGCTCTGGCTCTGGTACCCACCAGATCAACACCCTCCTCACCCATGCGGGCTCCAACACTCCACCAGCCCGCCCTCTGCAGACACCCTCCTCACCCTTCTCAGGTCCTCACCCTGCTCAGGACCACTGTGACTCTTCCCCTAACCCCATCTTTCCCTGTCTGTCCTAATGGCTTTAGGACGGAATTGTGTAGGAAGAAAAGAGTAGAAAAAAAGCAATAAAAGGGTATCATCTGTTTGAGCTTCATGAGGCCAAGAACTATATCTTAAGTTTTTCTGAATTCTGAAGACATGCTTAGAAAACAGAATCAATGGGACTTTGTGACCAATTAGAAAGAGAATGAGACATGAAGTAGAATTTTATAATTCATTCTTTTAAAAGATACAGACTGAAGGTCCCCTGTGCAGGGAGATGGGGTAGGAGGACTAGGGACAACTTAGCATGTGTTTACTAAGCAATAATTGTTTAGACAAATAGAATCAGAGTCCCAGACAGTATGTGCTGGAGGAGCCAGATCTAGGCTTCGTCTGACAGAATAGAGGTCTACTTTACCAGAGAGGTAAAGTGCCTTGTTGTCCTCTCCTGTCTTCAAGATGAATTATGCTGTGAGTGCTACACTGGTGGTGGGCATCTTCGTGGGGTTTCAGAAGAAAGCCTACACTTCTCCAAACAGTCTTCCTGCCTTTGTTGCACTGCTCATGCTGTATGGGTGAGTGGTTGGAGCCATGAGGTAATGCCACCAAAAGGGAAGCCAAGGGAGGGGTGTGTCTTTCTGACAGAAAACCAGGGTTGCTGGTGGCAAGGTTAGCTTCCAGCCCCTGACAGGGTGTGTGGCTGCTGACCAGGAATCTGTCTGGCTTCTGTTTCTGACTCCACCTGTGGAGGTATTCCTGAGGCCCGGTCGACTCAAGGACAGTGGAGACACCGTCCATGTTCTGTATCTTCTTCCACTCAGACTATGATCTAACTGATGCCTGGGAACCTGTCACTCCCCAGTTCCTCACCCAGCTATAATTCTGAAGTGACCAAGCTATCCATTTCAGGGTCTCCATCTGTACTGACCAAGAGTTATTTGCACACAGTAGAAGATTCCAGCTGAAAAGCTGTTCCTGAGTCAGGGCCAGGGGATGTCACAGAGATTAATGTAGTAGAATTATAGAGCGAAGCATGCAGCTTTGTGTCCAAGCCTAGAAATTACTACCTGTGTAACTGTGGACAAGTAATTCATATCATCTGAGCCTTAGCTTCCTCATCTGTAAAATGGAAATAATGATACCTGGCCCATCCTACATGGGCCAGTAGAGTATTACCAGAGCAGTGGTCTCCTTTGATCACTCTTGAAAATAGAGACATCAGGAACCAGCATGACTGTGACAGTGAACTGTGAAGATGAGCCTGTTGGGATCTCAGCTCAGCATTGCTGATCCAGCCTAGAGTGAAAGGCACTGCAGGGCCGAGAATGCTCCTATGCATTGTACAAGGCTTTATAATTTACAACGTACATCCGCAGCTCCTCACAAAACCCCCATGAGGTGGCCAGGGAAGGCATCCATTCAAAGATGAGGAACCAAGAGCAAGGGGTGGAGTATCTCTTTGTTTCCCCTGGGACTCTCACCGGTTTAAACATGTCACCTCATGTGTGAAGGGAATGTGTTATATCTAGGGGTACAGCAGATGGAATTGAAATTGGCACTCCACCCCCCTAAGTTGTGTCATTTCACACAGATGGGCGGTCATTCCCATGATGTACCCAGCATCCTTCCTGTTTGATGTCCCCAGCACAGCCTATGTGGCCCTGTCTTGTGCTAATCTGTTCATTGGCATCAACAGCAGTGCCATCACCTTCATCTTGGGATTATTTGAGAATAACCAGGTAAGCATGACTTCCTTGGCTTTCTTGTTTGATTACTCAGGTAGTAGAGAGTATGTGATGGCCAAGCAGAGCCATGGGCAAGCACAGTGTCTGGACAAGCTTAGTGCAGAAATGGATGTTGCTCCCTCCCTTTCTCCCTCCTTCCTTCGTTCCTCCCTTCCTTCCTTCCTTCCTTCCTTCCTTCCTTCCTTCCTTCCTTCCTTCCTTCCTTCCTTCCTTCCTTCNCCTTCCTTCCTTCCTTCCTTCCTTCCTTCCTTCCTTCCTTCCTTCCTTCCTTCTTTCCTTCCTTCCTTCCTTCCTTTCCAGCTCCTTGTTCATGTGTGTGCTCTGAGTATCATGGTTTTCTGAGTTCATTCTGCAAGCTGCAAATGACATTTCATGACCCTAAGCTTTTATATTTTCTTACTCCTTCAGGAAGGTTTCCTTGGGGACTTTGGGTGATAGGTTTTCTACACATACACATAGGTAATGCATTCATGAGATTTCAACATTTCAAAGGAACAAACAGGCATACAATGAAAAGTCTCTTTTCTATCCCTATTTCTCAATAGCCTAGTTCCTTTCTCCAGAGGCAACCTCTCATTTGAGTTTCTTTGTGTTCTAAAGACGTATAAGCAAATTACACACACACACACACACACACACACACACACACACACATATTCTTTCATCTATGCAAATTGTAAGAGAGTAATACATACTATTCTACATGGGAATTGATCCTGAGGACAGGATTAGAAATGTATTGTTCTGAAGGACTCATTTTTATGAGCTAGAGTGTCCAGTTGCCCCATTCACAGTCTTCCCTTTGTCCAGAAAGACCTACCCAGACTGAATCCTACATACAGTGACAGTGGCTACAGGGCTGTCTGCTCCACACTCCTGCTCCTAGTCCACTGTGTCTGAGCTCTGGCCATGGCTGTCCTGGAAACATTCCTAAGGACTGGCGGTCTCGCCCACGTGCCTGTGTACCCAGTGCCCTCTCTAGCCTTCCTCTCACTCATTAGATCTTCACAGTTCAGAGGGTAGTGCATCTTCACTGCTGTCCTCCGGCCCCTCCCTCCACTCCTACTTCTGGGCCCTGCTGGGAATACCCAAGGCAAATCTACTGACTACCCAGTCCCATAGCCTCCTGAGAGTGACTCTTTCCCAGACCTTGTCAGGCTTTCTGTGGCCACTAAGCAAGAAACCAAACCCCATCTATCCCATGACTGATAAAACAAATATACCATTGTTACAGTCAGACCCCAGAAGGATGAGAACACTGACCGCCACCCCTCCCCCCTGATAGCCAGAGCACCCTGATGGACTGAAAATGCTGCATTTTAGAGCTGTTTTTGTCACGAGCTCACAGCCCGCTAAATCTTAAGAGAATGTGTTCCTTCAGAACAATGAAAAGTAAGCTTAAAGCAACTCAAAACATTCTGCCTCCTGTGGGCTACACTCGCTTAGCCAACATTTACTGAGTGCACCTCCTTCCCCTGAATAAAAGCTGGTTGCTTTCTCATAAATTATCAGACAGATGCTGCAGAAATACCCAGAATCCCACAGGAGGCTCCCCAGGTCCCAGTAGCTGTTGTCCCTACTCAGTCAAGAGGTATCACCGGTGAGAACACCACGTGATGGATGTGACTATAAAAACAAGTGTGACCCACTCGTCCTGCTTTTCAGGATCTCCCATTCCAGTCTGGAAATGACCTGCACATCAAGTTGGGAACTGATATAAACCACAGTACATGACATTCCTTATGACAGAACATCAAAGGAGCAAGACAGATAAGAAACACTACAGATCAGAGTGGGCCCAAAGAGCTGGGCTGCAGGAGTCAGGAGAACCTTGATGGAGGAAACTCCGTTTGAGCTTGGCCCGGAATAAGCAGCATTTCATTAACCCATTTAATAAATAATGAAGTTCCTACTATGAGCCGATCATTGTACAATTTAAGAAGGACACCAAAATGAGTAGGACGAGTCCTTGTCCTCCAGGGACCACTGTTTAGTGGAGAAAGTAAGCAAGTTAAAAAATAATTAGGGCCGGCTGAGTGGCTCAGTTGGTTAAGAGCTCGCTCAAGAGTTTGAGCTCTGAGCAACAGCAGTTCGATGCCTGGCCCGAGCTGAGCTGCCAACAGGCGGCAGAATGGCTCAGCTAAAAAAAAAATAAAAAATAAAATAAAAAAATAAAAATAAAAATAATAATAATAATAATTAACCCTGGCAATCTAGAAAGAATTATAAGAGGGGAATGGGTATTTTACCCTGGGAATCTGGAAAGGCTTATGAGTAAAGGGGTTATTGAAGCCAGTTTTCTAAAGAATGGTGGGAATCTGCCAGAAGGGGAAGGGGCATTTATTCCTGCTATGGTTAACAGAGGCGCAAGTGCAAAGGCCCAGAGGCAAAAGAGCAGAGTGCCTTCTGGAAGGGGGGGTAGAGGGAGGGCACCATGGGGAGGGGTCATCAGAGAGAGATGAGGTCGTATGAGCAAAGGTGTGGAGGCTGGAGAGGAGGGAGGTTGTATGGTGGGGATGGGCCAGATAAGTGGACAGCAGTGGCCGCTTCAGCCTCACCCTGTTGGTGTCCCCTCTGCCTTCTTGAGGGAGGCTTGGGCCGACACCCTGAGGCTAAAGCAGCAAGTATAGTCTGAACACCTGAAAAAAAGTCCCCCCCAACTCAACATGGACACCAGAGCATCTCCGCCCTCTTTTCTGCTGGTGACAGCTGCACACAGCTGTAGTTGTCCTGCGGGGGCTGAGAAGCAGAGCTGATAGATGCTCAGGGCCCCTCTTTTCTTTGGTATAAGGTGGGCTAAGATAGAGCAGATGAAAGAGCCTCAGTCCGCAGTGACGGCTCACGGTTATACGAAAGGAAAGAGAACCTGGGCCACTTTCCCACAGCTGCTCTAACGAATGCCTTGGAGGGCTCCTGTGTAAATGTCAAACTGAGTCTACAGTGAGAGTTCCCCAAGGGGCTGCCTGGCTAGAGGCACCTCTTTCCCTGTCTGCTTGACAAACCCCTCCTCTGGCTGGTCTGGCTGCCAGGCCCCCTCTGTCTGCAGGCCTTCTCTTACGCCTGCCCAGCGAGGGCCTCCAGACTCCACCCTGCGTAGAAGGGGGCAGGCGGGCTTGGCCCCCATTTGTGACTGTACTGCTCTTTTCTATGTTTCAGACGCTGCTCAGATTCAATGCCATGCTGAGGAAGCTGCTCATCATCTTCCCCCATTTCTGCCTGGGCCGGGGCCTCATTGACCTGGCGCTGAGCCAAGCTGTGACAGACGTCTATGCCCGGTTTGGTGGGTGGCAGTCAAGGCCCATGGAGAGTGGCCCTGGATCCTCTGAGGCTGGGGCGGCTGCCTTTGGAGTTCCTGTGCCACAGCTGTAGCCTGGCTGGGGCGGGAGGAGGGGGGCCTCCAGATTGGTCTGGGCTGTCCTGCGGTCTAGAAGGGACCAAGATGCCTCTGTTTCTGTGGCTGAGGAGCCACCGGAGGGGTCAAGGGCAGGTTTTACTCTTCTCTCCTTTGACTTGAGGAGCCAAGATGAGACTTGGATTTGACTCTTGCTTAATCCCTGGCCTCACCCCTGGTCTAGCTGGGACGAGTGCTGTAGCTAGGTCTTTATGGGGCAGCTGAGGCAGCCAAGTGGACTTAATTCCTGTTGCTTTCTGGTGGCCTCCATCCCCAGGTGAGGATCATGCTTCAAATCCATTCCAATGGGACCTGATTGGGAAGAACCTGGTTGCCATGGCAGCAGAAGGGGTGGTGTACTTCCTCCTGACCCTCCTCATCCAACACCACCGGTTCTTCCTCACCCGATGGTACGTCCAGGCCACTGTCCTGAGGGACCAAAGTCCGGGGACTTGGCTTCACACCCATGTGGTCATCTTTATCCTCAGGAGCCCCCCACCATGATGGTTTTTACATTCTCAAACCTGGCTTGCTCTGAGTAATACAAGAAGAGACACATTAAATAGGCACAAAAGAATTTGTGAAGAATGTAAGCCTTAAAGTACTTAAAATACAGTGTTATTAGTTTCAATCGCTAATATTTAATCCCTCTCATTTAATCAACAGATACTCATTTTAAATTGAATGATAGCATTGCAAATGATAATGGTTAAGGAGTATCCAAAGTACTAGGAAATAGCTGTACACATTCATGAGCAGATAGACAAAGCAGACCCCATTGCTAATTAGAGATTTGACAGTTGTGACAGGGCAGGGGAAGAGGAATATGGGGGTGACAGGAGATGAGTGCAGCCAGGAGCAGTGTGGAGGCGGGGAGCAGTGATGGTGCCCCTAGGCGAGTGGTGAGGTGGCTGCTCTCCATAACCCAGCCCAGCAGCACCGTTCTTCCCCAGGCCCTGCCTCGTTCTGACGTGGGCGCTCAGGTTTCCAGAAAGCAGTCGCTCTGCAACCCAGGCTAAACTTCACTGGGCCCAGGCCAGGGGACTGCATCGCGAACCACAGGGCCCTCAGAACAAGCTTTCCTGGGCAGTGTTTTGCTTCTTATCTTTTCATCCTCTCAGGCTGAGTCTGGCTACTTGTAAATAAAGACTGAAAGGACTTGTTTTTAAGTTTTGATCCACAGGGAACAAATCTTCCTACTTGCAGGGTTGTGAGGCCTGAATGAAATCATGGGGCCTGGAACTCAGGGCTGACTCCGGACTCGAGCACTTGCTCCCTCTGCCTAATGCCTCCCTTGTTGGGAGTCCTTTCGAGAATTCAAGTCTTAGAGAATGGAAAGCCAGCCTGGGGAAGAAGTGGGGGAATAGGAAGAAGAGAAAGGGGGTGGTGCTGAGGACGCTGCACTCCAGCCCAATCCTGTCCCCTTCTCTTTCTCCAGGATTGCCGAGCCTGCTAAGAGGCCCGTCGCTGATGAAGACGATGATGTGGCTGAAGAAAGACAAAGAATTCTTAGTGGGGGAAATAAAACTGATATCTTAACTCTAAATGAACTAACCAAGGTAAGGGAATAGGTGTAGACGAGTTAGTTTGGAGGTGCCGGTTGGACCCAGAGAGGGCACGACGTTGTAATTTGCCTTCTACAGAACAAGCGATATGCCTGTGCAAGAAATTTGTTTTTCTGATTATATGTGGGGTTGTCATCTCTGTGTTTAACTTGTCTTTCAAGAACATTGAATTCCAATGCATTTTTCTAGCGTTCATCTTTGGGCCTCAGCCAGCACCACTGCAGCCAACCTCTCCGATCTTTCTCTAGTCCATCTCTACACAGTGGGTCGGCTTTGAGGCTTCTCAGTGCTCACAGCACCTCTCTGAATGCCTGAGTCAGTCTGTAACCTCTTTGTGTTGGTAGTTTTCGCCCAAGCCATCCTTTGCTCTCTCTTGTCCTCCCGGCTCTAACCCTCTCTCAGTCTTCAGTCCAGTTTCTCTGATCTTGCAGATTTATTCAGGCACCTCCAGCCCAGCCGTGGACAGACTGTGTGTGGGAGTTCGTCCTGGCGAGGTAGGTACTCTGCAGATCACATATGAAGGGGCTTCAGAAAATCTGCTCCTGTGCACATCTATCTTCTCCCCTCTAAAGCCAAGCTATCAAATAAAAATAAAACACAAGCCACCACAGGCCATTTACATTTTCTAGTAGCCACAGGAAAAAGGTTAAAACAGGTGAAATTAATCACTTACTTTATCCAATAATGTATCTGAAATACTGTCACGTCAACATGTAATTCATATAAAACATTAGTAATGAGATGTTTTATGTTCTTTTGTTGTGTTTTTTTTCTAAGTCTTCAAACTCCAGTGTGTGCTTTATATTTACAGCAGATGTCAATTTAGACTAGATGTGTTTTTAGTGCTCAGTAGCCACTGTAGAGGAGAAAATAGTCTTTCTTACTACCCTCCTAGGTTCTCAGGCTCCACAAATCATTCTGACAAAAGACAGATTAACAAGAGAAAATCAATGAAAAGTTTGTTAGCGTGTGCATCACACATCTATGAGGAGATATAACTCAAAGAGTTGGTTAGAATTTGGGCTTATATAGCATCTTAGCAAAGGAATAATATATTTTTAGAGAAGTGACAAGACAAAGGAAAGGGACCTTGACTTTCTAGAGTAGCAAATAGTTAGAAGGCAAATATATGGGAAACAAATGGTACATAAAGGCTAGTTAGTAAAATTTGTTATGTAGATTCCTCTGGTGCCATCTCCTGGCTGATAAAGGTCTAAAGTTGTCTCCAGTGATTAACTTCTGTCTTGGTAGAGAGGGGAGGGGGAACCCCTTGTAAATTTATGTCCTGCTTTTAAGCAAATAGGGGGAGGACAGAGAGCTTTTCTTGTATCTGCTTCTTCCCAGTTGCCCTCAGCTCAGAATCATGCTTATGTCAAAGCGGCATATTCGGGGTGGCATATTCTGCTACCCAACACTATGCGGGGCTAGTGGCTTCAGTAATTGCAGCACAGGTCTAAAATGCCTCCCCCCACCCACACACTTGCCCTAGGGCCTGACATTCCAGACCCTCTTGGCCTCGAAGGTGAGGCCAATTCTGTGTTTTTCCCCTCAGTGCTTTGGCCTCCTGGGAGTTAATGGAGCTGGCAAAACCACCACTTTCAAGATGCTCACTGGGGACAGCACAGTAACCTCAGGCGATGCCACTGTGGCAGGCAAAAGGTGAGTGTCCTGCTCACCCTGTCTCAGCGAGCCTCTCACAGGTCCTGGGCCATGACCCCGTCCCAGCCTAGGGAGGGTGAGCATCAGACCCTGTATCTGAGGGTGACACTGAGAGCCTGAAAGCTCTGTGCAGAGGGGTGGACCTCCCCGCGGACATAGTCCCAAAAGTCCAAGACATAGACCTTCTGGAAAACTGAACTGAATTGTGATTGTTAAGAGATTCCTCTGTTGTCATGGACTCTCAGAAGGCTGGGAAGCTCCGAGTCAGCGGTTCTTACTCTTTTTTGGGTTGTGGACTCTTTTGAGCATCTGATGAACACTTGCACCTTCTTCCTATAAAAATACACCATTGTCCCCCATTACCTCCATTCACGTTTCGCAAACAGTTTCAGTGAATTTACTGAGCCCTGAAGCACGATTATGATCCTGCAAGACCCCTGGGCCCCAGGTTAAGAACCTCTGTGATGAAGCATCCTTTCTCTGGGCTGAGCTTCTAGGTGGGGGCAGTTTCAAAAGCTGCCGGGACCTTAATCTCTACTGGTTGGTTCTGTGCTGATGATTGGCTTAGCCAGGTCAAGGAGCCTTTATAAAGGGAAAATTGCATGTGCCCTTGGATTCCAGAGGGTGCCTGCTGCTCTCTGTAATCAGGTGTGAGTCAACAGTCTGGTCCTCTACAGGCACAGGATGGAGAACCTGAACTTGTTTGCCTCTTTCCAGGCTGCTCCCTGGACAGCAGAACTCACACACGTTAGATGTGCCCAGGGGAACCCTCTTCCCTGGTTTATGAGTAGAGTTAGGCACTGCTCATGTCTACCCAGAATCTGCCTGATTGGGGCCTCCCCTCACCTAAGAACCATCTTCCACATGGCCCAATACCCACCGGGAAGGGTAAGACTGAGCATGCTTCACTGGTTCAGACAGGATGGATTTGGTTCCCCTGCCTTCCCCAGCCATCCCTTTTGGGTCTCGAGCAGGGGTCGGCAAACAGCGGCTCGCAAGCCACATGTGGCTCCTTGGGTACGTACAGGGGGCTCTGAGATAAAATTGAAAATAAAAATAAAACTATCATAGTTTCATTTATACAATTTTTAAAGGATATTATTCACATAATGGTGATTTCATTTGCTTTATGACTCTCAAATAATTTTTAAATTCTTGTGAGGGATAGGATTGGCTCTTCTGTCTCAAAAGTTTGCCAACCTCTGGGCTAGATAGAGCAAAGGGACTGGCAGGGATGGAGTCAGGTCATGGCTGGGTCTATCTCATCTGCAGATTCAGCTTAGCTTGCAACCAAGCAAATGACTTCACGATGGTAACAAAAGGAGTCTTGGGGGGCAGAGGGTAGAGGTCAGGGGGGATGTAATAGAATTTGCCATCAGACATCAAGTTATAGTCCAAGTGAGACACAATCTGATGCCCAGAGGCTAAAAGCAAGATGGGAGCTAGAAAGAAACTATAACTTGAAGACACAGGATTGGGGTTTTCTGGTTTGGTAGCTCCTGTGAATTTGGCAAAGTACCCTCCTTGCTTCCCTGGGTGGCTTTAATTGGCCCAGCCATACCTGAATCATTTTTGTCATAGTGGGGGACTACGTGGCCTCTTTCTGTCCCCATCCTTTATTCATAGACCCTAAGTTATAAGGAAGAGGGGAAGAGATTGACCTGTCTATGGGCAGTTTACTTTTTTATCAAGGCAATGTATTTGTTAGTGGGGGAGAATATATTAGTCAAAGAGAGTTGATAGAGCTCAATTCACTTTATCTCTTCTCACTGACAGCCTCTTGCTCTGGGTCATGATCTGTTTGGTTTCTCTTTCATTGACTGTATCGCTGCCGATAAATACAGATGGAAAATTTACTTTCATGGGGAGGCCTGTATCTTTTCTAGCTACTTTCCAAATGTCTAAAAGGGGTCAAAAAACTGCTGTTAATGTCTTAAACCTGCTTTATTTTGGTTTTAACCTGACATGTCAAGTGATCCAGTCCAAAACCAAAGTTAACTTGGGTAACAGGTATTGGGTTATTGGAAAAGTCATGACGCATTTTTGCAACGAAAAACATAGAAAAAATACATCATGACTTTTCTGGCAGACCAATATTTAATTTATCCTAGACAGGTAGACTTGGGAGGATATGACTGGATTCAAAGCTCAGAACTCCTGAAGTCATCAGTTTCTGACCAAAGGGCCCCTGCTTTGATTCCTCAATGTTGTGCACATTTGTAAAGCAAAGTAGAAGAAGGGAAGTGGCAGCATCCTTACTTTGTTGGCAAAAGTCCTCCAGCCCGGCCCTGGAAATTTGCTAACTGCTTTCTCTTGTTGCAGTATTTTAACCAATATTTCCAAAGTCCATCAAAGTATGGGCTACTGTCCTCAGTTTGATGCAATTGATGACCTGCTCACAGGGCGAGAACATCTTTACCTTTATGCCCGGCTTCGAGGTGTACCAGCAGAGGAAATCGAGAGGGTAAAAAAATCATTTGTTGTGGTCACTTAGGAATTTGGTAAACCATAAGGCTATTTCATGAAACTGCAATTATGTAGAGATGGGAAAGCTTTAGAATGTTATCAATTCATTCATTCAACAAAAGCTTACTGAATATCTACTATTTGCCAAGTACTGTTCTAGAAGATGGGGATAAAGCCATGAACAAAACAGACAAAAATATCCTTGTCCTCATATTTCTAACAAAATAATGTATGTCTCTGTCTTTCCACCCAGCAATCTCACTTCTGGGAAATTACCCTGAAGCTATGCCTTCCACAATACAAAATGCATATACACAAAATTATTTATTACATTTGCAGTTGCAAAATATTGGAAATTACCTAAATGTTCAGGTATAAGATGTTGGTTGAATAACTTATGGTACATACATACAAGTCTTATGCAGCTGTTAAAAACTAAAAAAGAAGAAAAAAACAAGGAAAATCTCTGTGAACTAATATGGAATTACTTCCAAGAAATATTTTTAAGTTAAAAAAGCAAAATGCAAGGGCCGGCTGAGTGGCTCAGTTGGTTAAGAGCTCGCTCAAGAGTTTGAGCTCTGAGCAACAGCGATTCGATTCCCGGACTGAGCTGAGCAGCCGCTGAGCTGCCAACAGGTGGCAGGATGGCTCAGCATAAAAAAAAAAAAAAAGCAAAGTGCAAAAAAGCACATGTATAATGTTCTTTATGGAAGAAACTAGAAAAAATAAGAAAGCATACATATGTCTGCTTATCTTTACAAATAGAAAGGATAAACCAGAAAACCATGAATTTGATTATCGACAAGAAGGAACTGGGTGAAAAGAAAATGGGAGGGAATGACACCTCCCTGAGGATATCTTTTTATATAGTTTTTACTTTTAGAAGCATGTTAATGTTCTACATATTCAAAACATAAAACTAAAGGGCCCGCCAAGTGGCGCGTTGGTTAAGAGCTGGCTTGGGATGTCAGAGGACCCTGGTTCGGATCCCACATATGAGGGCCAGTGACACTGCCCTCTACAGCTAAGATGCTGAACAACAGCTCAACCTGGGGCTGGGCTGCGGTGAGTCCCCAGCGACGGCGTAGGCTGCAGCCCCTGCTGCAGTGGGTTGCCATGGGCTACCGTGTGTAGCCATCAGCCAGCGTGAGCGGCCCTCAAGCTGCCATGAGCGGCTGTCCAGAAGCCAGTGACTGATCTGCCTTGCCCGGGAAGAGCGCAATGATGGTGCCAACTTGGGCCAGTGAAGCAACGTCCTCCACAACTAGACTGAAGAACAAAACGACAGCAGCTTGTCTGTTTCCCTTCCCCCAATTCCCCAGTACTGTTCCCATCCCCCCAATTCCCCCAATAAAAATCTTTTTAAAAAAACCTAAATAAGAATGGGAAGGGGCAAAAATGAAAACAAAAAGAAAATCCTAACACTGAAACAAATTAATCTAATTTTATTTGAAATACATATTATCATCATACAAAAAGGGAAGAAAAGAACTAATACAAATAACTGATGACACAGTACTTGACTTTGTATCCTTAGTCTTAAATAAACGAAGCAGAGGGAAAAAAACTACAAATTCTGAGCTACATTTAGTCCATTTGTTAGGGATTTTTTTTTATAATGGCATGGGCAAAGCAATTCTGAAACAATTTTAGATGTGTTATAGGGTTAAGTAAATGAATGAATGTGTTAATATTGAGGGCTAGAGTTCTCACTACTGAAGAAAGGACATACAAATATGGAAAGGGCGAAAACAAGAGAGAGCCCTATGGGGATGTATTGGAATTAGAGATATCACTGAAAACTCATGAAATATTTATATGCATGAGTTGGTGCATGCATGCATATGTGCTCCTATAAATTGCACTTAGGCATGTGTATGTATATATGTGTGCGTTTGAGCATGTGTACGTCTGTCCTCTGAAAAGGCTAAGAAGAAAAAATAGCCCAGTAACAATGAACACATATTTTGTTATCTAGTACCATTCCCCACCAAAAGAAACTGTGACTCCTCAAACAATGACAAATCCTAGGGTTGAGACAGCATAGGTATTAAATGAGCCTGGAGCATCTTATGCCAGAAAGTAAAGAAGTGCTTAAAAAGAAAAATAATAGAAGCATGTCACAAGTACACAGGAGCCATCTTGAAGGGGCTCCCAACAGCCATATATGGGACAATTTGAACATTAAAATAATTAAATACCATGATAAATTATAAAACACTGGGGGGGGGATAGTAATTCATAAGTCAATACTATTAAATAAATAAATAAATGAATGAATAAATAAATAAATAAGCAAACAAACAAACAGGAGAGAAGGAAGAGTTGTTGCTTACAATCAAGTACTGAGAGACAACTGGTTATGAGGAGGAAGTTATGAAGTTGGAAAATCATTTTGCAATGATCATAGATTAGAGTGTACAAGAATCATCAATGATTACTAAATCTAGGGGAAATTTTTTTTATGAGAAGCAAAATATTTATTGGTTTAAAAATATCTCCCACAGATTGCTTATTGGTTGCGAGGTGGAAGCATAATCATTTTACAATGGAGAAATTAAACAACACCTTAACTGGGTGATCAAAATTAACATTATCTGAGAGGCAGATGGATTTCTCATGCCCCTAGATGTAATACCCTGAGAAGGGACACAACTTCATTTATGTGACATTCTGATTCAGAATATGAAAACCTGAATCATATGAGGAAACATCAGATAAACATTTGTCCTGCTCTAAGTTACTCGGCCATAAAAAAGAATGAAATCTTATTATTTGCGACAACATGGATGGACCTAAAGGGTATTATGCTAAATGAAATAAATCAGACAGAGAAAGACAAATACCATATGATTTCACTTACATGTGGATTCTAAAGGACAAAATTAATGAACAAACAAAACAGAAATAGACTCATAGATACAGAGTACTTCCCCCTCTGGGAAGGGGACTTGAGGGGATGGGTGAAAAAGGTGAAGGGATTAAAAAGTACAAATTGACAGTTATAAAATCATCATGGGGATGTAAAGTACAGCATAGGGAACATAGTCAATAATATTGCAATAACTATGTATGGTGCCAAGTGGGGGATCACTTCATAAATTATATAAATGTGTAGTCACTATGTTGTATACCTGAAATGAATATATAATAATATGGGATGTCTACTGTGATTGGAAAAGAGAAAAACTCTAAAAGAACATTCTAAAAAAATACAGGGGCTGTATTCTTTGAAAGAATCAAAGTCGTGACAGACAAGAAAGGCAATGAAAGGCTATGAAAATATTCCTGATCACAGGAGGCTAAGTAGACACGATGGCTGATGGACATTATGCTGCATGCTGTACTGCGGAGAAAATATGCCGCGGAGGATATTATTGGGCCAACTGACAAAACCAAACTATGAACAGTAGATTAAAGTATTATAATAATGTTAAATTTACTGACATCGATAACTGCACTGTGTTTTTTTTGTTTGTTTTTTTTTAAAGATTTTTATTGGGGTATTGGGGGGAAGGGAACAGTGCTGGGGAATTGGGGGAAGGGGAACAGACAAATTGCTGTCGTTTTGTTCTTCAGTCTAGTTGTGGAGGACGTTGCTTCACTGGCCCAAGTTGGCACCATCATTGCGCGCTTCCCTGGCGAGGCACATCAGTCGCTGGCTTCTGGACGGCCGCTCACTGCGGCTGCTGGCCGCTCACGCTGGCTACATACGATAGCCCATGGCAACCCACTGCCACAGGGGCTGCAGCCTACGCCGTCGCCGGCAACTCACAGCAGCCCAGCTCCAGGTTGAGCTGTTGTTCAGCATCTTAGCTGAAGAGGGCAGTGTCACTGGCCCTCATATGTGGGATCCGAACCGGGGCCCTCTGGCATCCCAAGCCAGTTCTTAACCAACACGCCACTCGGCCGGCCCGATAACTGCACTGTGTTTACGTAACAGAATATCCTTATCCTTAGGAAGCAGACACTAAAGTATTTAGGAGTGAAGGGCCATGATGTATCTTACCCTCAAATGGGCCTGAAAAAAATTGTTTGTGTGTGTCTCAGAGAGGGAGAGAGAAAAAAAGAGTAAAAGGTTCATGAATATTCTTTGTACTATTCTTATTTTTACATGTTTCTGTAAGTTGCAAACTATTCCAAATAAAAAGTCAAAAATGGAGCTTACATTCTAGTGGAAGGGGCAGACAATAAATAGATAAATAAACTCACATTTGTGAGTGGAAAGTTTTTAGGGGAAAAATAAAGCAGGGAAGAATTGTTGGGGTGGGGTTTGCGCTGTCAGGTAGGGTGGCCCAGGAAAAGCCTCACAGGTTTTCTGAGTGAAGACCTAAAGGAGCTCAGAGAATGGGCCATGTGGATATCTAGGGGAAGAACATTCTGGCAGTTACAAGTACAGAAGGCAGAAGCAGGGTGGGTTTGTCTCCTTTGACATCCCTAGTTTTATTTCTGTGCCCATATGTGTGTGAGCATACACACTTACACACACACATACACACACACCTGTTATTCTGTATCATAGTTTCCTGTTGAGTTCCCTCAAAGCACTATTATAATCTGTCATTATTCTGTTTATTTCGATTATCACGGTCAATGGCTAAGTTCACCATTATTCTCCAGTGCCTAGTACAGAGCCTGGCTCATAGTGGGTGCTCATTAAGTATACATCTGATGCACAAGACTTCAAGTGTAACCTCATTGAGGGGTGGAATCAATGGACCCACCATCTTCTCAAACAGACCCTAGGACTTTTCCTCTCTCCCTCCTAGCCATATAGTAAGAAGCTCTGTTCTGCTCTTTGTAAAGCTGAAGCCCATTTCTCAGGGGGCTGCACCCAACAGGTGCTTAGCTGACGGCACACTGGGATCTAAGGCACAGAGTGAAAAGGAGACGTCTGGCCCCTGAAGCTCATGGCCAGAGAGCATGAGCCAGCAGGTGGCACTGTTTGGGCCTAGCTTTTGTCTGTCATCCTAGACCTATGAGATCTGGAAGCTCAAGACTTTGAATTGGTGGAGGTTTTGGGTGTTTGGTTCTTTGTCTCCCCCAAATGGGATTTCTTTCTCTTCCCTAGGTGGCAAACTGGAGTATTCAGAGCCTGGGCCTGTCTCTGTATGCAGACTGCCCGGCCGGCACCTACAGTGGAGGCAATAAGCGGAAGCTCTCCACCGCCATGGCCCTGATTGGCTGCCCGCCGCTGCTGCTGCTGGTGAGGGGCACCGTGAGCAAGTGGTGCATCTCTAGGGTTGGGTCAGCAGATTAGAAAATGCAGCAGTCTGTTTCTGTCTGGACTGTTCCCTGTTTTGCTCATTGTCAGCAAATCAGCCCAGTGTTTGGTTCACAGCTCTTCGGGGAAACTTGAAAATTCTCACTCTGAGTCCTGGGTGTCTCTTGTGGGGCCACAGGCTCACAGAGGAGAAGTTCAGCCCCTCTGTAGAATATCAGTGTCTACTCAGAAACTACTGCTGTCTGAGGAAGCCTGTTTGGGATCTGAAATGGAGAGGAGCATTGGCCTGGATCAGGGGTCAGCAAACTGCGGCTCGCGAACCACATGCGGCTCTTTGGTTACGTCCGGTCTCAAAAGTTTGCCGACCCCTGGAAGAGCCAATCTTGTCCCTCACAACAATTTAAAAATTATTCGAGAGCCCTAAATATATTTTTACATAATCACCATTATGTGAATAACACCCTTTAAAATTTTTGTAAATGAAACTGTGATAGTTTTATTTTCATTTTCAAGTTTACTTCAGAGCCCAAAGAGCCGCATGTGGCCCATGAGCCACAGTTTGCCAACCCCTTCCCGCTCTTCCATCCCAAAAGTTTGCCGACCCCTGGCCTGGCTCAAAGGCTCATGTGACTCTGACTCGGAGCCTGAGGCCCAGTGCCCATAAGGTGTGGGGTTTCTGAGACCATGGGTCGCAGGACTTGGAGGAAACCTGAAAAGTCGCCCTGCCTCCTTGCAAACATATGTATAGAATCAAAGGCTCATGTGACTGTCACCGGAGCCAGACCAGGCCCAGGCCTGAGGCCTCCTTGCCCATGCAGTCTGGGGTTTATGAAGGAAGGACTTGGAGGGAGCAAGAAAAGGCACATGGGCTAAATCCCTGCCTCCTTGTAAACACGTATAAGTTTTGGGGGTTTTCATTTGTTTTTAAGGTAGCGCTACCACTGCCTTAATCAACCTTAACCCATTCCTGGGATGAAATGGTCTACAGGTGTGCATGATCTAACTTTACTCTCTTGATTCACCACCTGCCTTCCATACTCTGCACCTGGGTACCCCAGGTCTCACCCGACTAGGGAGTGACTCTGTGCACTGTCTGCCGGAGACAATGCTCAGAGGAAGTCAGCCAAGGAGGATGCAGTAACCAGAGGTGGCTGGCTCGAGGCCCAGCCCCTGCCCTCTCTGCCTCCCCACAGGATGAGCCCACCACAGGCATGGACCCCCAAGCACGCCGCATGCTGTGGAACACCATCGTGAACATCATCAGAGAAGGGAGGGCTGTAGTCCTCACATCCCACAGGCAAGAGATTCCCGGGGGCTGGAGTGGAGCAGGCGGGGAGGTGGGAGTCCCCCACACCCCTCACCTCCTCTCTCCTGCCCCACAGCATGGAAGAATGTGAAGCCCTGTGTACCCGGCTGGCCATCATGGTGAAGGGCACCTTTCAGTGTCTGGGCACCATTCAGCATCTCAAGTCCAAGTAAGGAGATGGTGGGGTGGGAGATGCCTTTGTTACCTTCCTGGCGCGGGCCACTAGGCCTGTGCTCTCTACAGACACTTGGGAGTGTCCTGCTGCCCCCGCACTCCACGTGCAGAGGCAAGTGGTGGCCAGGCCTCATTCTGCAGCAGCAGATGGAGAAAGCCATCATGCTGAAAGAAACTATATTGGGCTAATTGCCTGTGGTTGACGGCTCCCCCAGTCTCCAGATGGAGGGTTCTGATTGGGATGCATGCAGAGCCTGGCGGGGATGAGGGAGAATAGTACCACTGCCTCATTATCCCACTATTTATCCCAACAAATCCAGGACCGATGACCTATTTAATAAGAGGCCACAACCAACATAGGAATGATTAGGAGACCAAACAGCCTGAGAATCAGTTTTCCTTTCTGGAATATTGTATGATTTTGAGTTTGAGAAATGACCATGTATTATGCAACAAACCAGCAATGCCAGTAATCTTCAGTAGGATTACCCTGTCCCCATAAATTGTAAACTGCTGTAAATAATGTGTTATTAATAATGGTTTGTGCGCCAAACCTGACAATCGGTTAAAATAAGGTTATGATAATAATGCCATTTTCCCTTGCATTCTGATATGCATTATAAACTAGGAAGGGTAGATTTATAGATTTATCACTTGTTTGTTTAACAAATGCTTTTTGAGAGCCCAGAATATAAAAATCACCATGCTAGTTAGTAAAAGGAACAGCACGTAACCTGCCTTATCTATGCCGAGAAATACCCAAGGGAGTGTGCTGCACAGAACACGTCATCCTTATACGCATCGGGGCAGATTAGTGACTGAGAAAGGTCTAGTTGATTAGCTGTGTTTGGATATTTGACCCATGATTCTGGAGCAACTACAGCTTGGACACTGCACAGATATCTAGGGGCGGTTCTGCATGTGAGGTCATCAGGCCTGTGTCAGCCCCTCCCTGTGTCTGCTGCTGGAGACATGATGTTCCCTCCTCCTTTCCCTCTCACTTCTCAGTATCCCCATGGTAGATCTGGTGAAAGGGGACTGTTCCCCATGTGGAGGGACAGTCAGTTTTTCAGAGCTAAAAGGTAAAGACATTTTATTGTAGAGGGCAATAACCCTTGATCATGTTATAACATTGAAAGAAGTTATAAGTGACACAGTTTACCGGCACGTAAGGGGGGAGGGAAGCCAGCTGACCATGTACACACTCTCTGGCGGACCATTCTTTATCCATGTGCCAGTGACCCGCTCACCTGGTGAGGGGAGGAGGGAAGCACAGATCAATGGCCCTGGCCCTGTCCGCCCCATGTGTTCTGGATGCTTCCACAGGAAGTGCTGCCTGTCCAAGCCTTTGCTTCCACCTGGCCAGCCTCTTAAAGGGCTAGGCAGCCTTTCCACCACTGAGGGAGCACTGGCCTCACGTGCTTCGTGGCAGGCCTGTGATCTCTGCAGGGGACTAAAACCACCTTTGACTTCAGCAAGTATGTGAGACGGATAGGAACCGGGAACATCCAGGCCTCTGGGAGTTGGACAGAGGACACAGGTCTGGTGACCCACTTCACCACACACACATTTAGACCTCTGAAAACTTGGATCAAGCTATCTCTTCAGGAACTACAATGGGGTTTTTTACTCCTTGTTTTAAACATGTACACAAGGTTTATAGTATGGACCTTTAATCCCCAATAGTTTTGATGAGTCTATGCCTTATTTTGGGACTGCCTTAGACCCAACTACTAACAGGCCTGTACCACGCCACCATGGGCATCCCCTAGGTTTGGAGATGGCTACATCGTCACAATGAAAATCAAGTCCCCGAAGGATGGCTTGCTTCCCGACCTGAACCCTGTGGAGCAGTTCTTCCAGGGGAACTTCCCGGACAGCGTGCAGAGGGAGAGACACCACAATATGCTGCAGTGCCAGGTCTCCTCCTCCTCCCTGGCCAGGATCTTCCAGCTGCTCATCTCCCACAAGGACAGTCTGCTCATTGAGGAGTACTCGGTCACACAGACCACGCTGGACCAGGCAAGTCGCCCGAGGTGGGCCACGTGCAGAGCACGACTGTGCAAAACCAGGGCTGGACCGCCTAACCTGGGCTGGAGTCCACGCAGGAGGGAGGCATGACATGCCTGAGTTTTAGCACTCTGGTCCATCTGTCCATTAGGGTGGTATGCCGAATATCAGAAGTTGTTTTCTAACACTATTTTAGTTATCAGCAAACTTTGTTGACTTTATATCACCCTTCCCCACTACACTATGGCTTTATTTTATCCTTTCTGGTTGATGGCGGTGGCTTTACTTTTTTTCTTTTTCAAATCAACTTTACTGATGCTTAATTTACATATGATAAAATGCACCCATTTTAAGGTGTACAATTTGGTGAGTTTTGATAAACGTGCGTGCCGTGTATCAGGTTTTTTTTTTAATGTGATCATTTTTTGTGTGTGTGGTAAAATATACATAATATAATTACCTATTTTAAGTGTGCAATTCAGTGGCATCAAGTACATTCACTGTGTTGTGCAAGCACCATCACCACCATCCATCTCCAGAAATTGTTGATCTTCTCAAACTGAAACTCTGTATCCATTAAGCAATAGCCACCCCCCTAGCCACTGGTAACCACTGTCCACTTTCTATTAACTACCCCATATACCTCATATAAATGGACTTACGCATATACTGTATTTTGTCCTTTTTTGTTTCGCTTATTTCATTTGACATAATGTCCTTAATGTCTATCCATGTTGTAGTATGTGTCAGAATATCCTTCTTTTAAAAGCTGAGTAATAGTCCATTGTCTATATATATATATACACCATGTTTTATTTATCTACTCATCTATCTGGACATTTGAGTTGTTTCTGGGGGTTTTTGTTGTTGCTGTATGTTTGTTTTAAATAAACGTCCTTAAAGACTCTTCAGTAAACCAGTGGACATAGACAAGTCTCCATTTACCCTTTGAGAAACTGGCTCACCAGCACCTTCTTCTCAGTCGTAAGCAGATGAAGACAGGAGCAAGAGTCAAGCCCACATTGCCCATTGAATGAAGAACAGAGGAGACATGAGATCAGGCTCCTGTTTCGTTTTTTGTTTCTTCTTTAGAGGTTTAGGAGGACGCTGCTTGCTGAGAGCTGACTTGTCTTGAATACCCCAAGCTCGGGTGCCCCAAGTCCTTTGAAGCTTTCCATGGGAACTCCTTTGTCTTAGCTCAGAATTTGAAGAAACAAGCCCCTGTCCAGGGCACTGGTGGCTGGGCTTCTTCGTGTGGGCCAGCCTTCCCTCCTATTGTACACAAGCTGCTCTTGCAGGGCTGTATATTAACTGTGAAAAAGAGAAAACTAAGTGAGTGGGTGGGTGGAAGGTACCATTTTTCTGAAAACGTCTATCTACTCTTGCTTCTGTTTTGCTTCTAGGTATTTGTGAACTTTGCTAAACAGCAGACTGAAATTCACGACCTCCCTTTGCACCCTCGAGCTGCTGGAGCCAGCAGACAAGCCAAGGTACCCTGCTACTCTTTCACAATCCATTGCTTGAGGCAGGTCCTCAGCCCAGGGACCTGTCCACTGGGCCTGAGGGGCCCCAAGGCCCAGATTTGCCTCCTGCAGAGAGCCCCACCCATACCACATCCTCTTTATGTCTCTACCACATCCCTGCCACTCCCAAATCCAGTTCTGTGATAAAGAACTTTTCAATCCCTATTTGTGTGGGTTCCTTTTGTAATCAGGAAACCATTTGGATGGTATCGGAGAGCTTTCTTGAAAAGAACTTTCCCATATGTTTTTGCTTAGAGTGAAAAAAAAACCTTGGATTTTGGAAATAAGAAGCAGGGAAGGTAGAGAATGTTAAGATGTCTTAGTGTTGGGATACTTGATACCCATGTCTGGCCATGTGTTCGTGTTTCAAAGGAAGGGAATTAACTAGCACTTCATGTCAATGGTGGACACATTTGGTTAGAGCAAGGATTATTGTCTGTTTTAGGAAGAGGGTCATTTGTTCTTTATAAAAATATCAAGGTGATGAAGGAAGAAGCAACAGAAGATATGTATCCTGGACTGTGATACTGTGATTACTCTTGGGACATGTGCTTCCAGGTTCCTGCCCCAGCCCCATGTAAGGAGCACTCCCATCCCATCCCAGTTCCAGAGAGAGAGAGAGAGAAAGAGAGAGAGAGAGAGAGAGAGAGAGAGAGAGAGAGAGAGAGAGAGAGAGAGAGAGAGAGAGAGAGAGAGAGAGAGAGAGAGAGAAAGAGAGAGAATACTAGAGGAGCCACCAGGATCCAGGTTCCTTGGCTTAAGACCGGGATTTTATTTATTTATTTTTCTTATTTATACTTGTTATTTTATAATTTTGTCTGTTTTTCAATTACAGTTGACATTCAATAGTACATTAGTTTTGGGTGTACAGAGTAGTGGTTAAACATTTATATAATTTGCAAAGCAATCCCCCCGATAAGTCTAGTACTCATCTAACACCATACATAGTTATTACAGCATTATTGACTATATTCCCTATGTTGTACTTTACATTCCTATGATTATTTTGTAACTGACAATTTGTACTTCTTAATCCCTTCACCTTTTTCACCCAGCCCCCCGCCCTAAACCCCCTCCCACCTGGCAACCATCAGTTTGTTCTCTGTATCTACCAGTCTATTTCTGTTTTGTTTGTTCGTTTATTTTTTTAGATTCCACATATAAGTGAAATCATATGATATTTGTCTTTCTCTGTGTGATTTATTTCACTTAGCATAATAACACCATGTAGATCCATCCTTGTTGTCACAAATGGTAAGATTTCATTCTTCTTTATATCGCCAAGTAATAGTCCATTGTACGTATGCACCACCTCTTCTTTATCCAACTGTCTATTGATGGGTACTTCGGTTGCTTTCATATCTTGGAGGGATTATTGTAAATAATGCTGCAGTGAACATAGGGATGTAGTATTTTGAATCTCTTTGGATACATGTGCAGAAGTAGAATTGCTGGGTCATATGGTAGTTCTATTTTTAATTTTTTGAAGTACCTTCATACTGTTTTCCATAGTGGCTGCACCAATCTGCAATCCCACCAACAGTGCACAAGTGTTCCCTTTTCTCCACATCCTTGCCAACACTTGTTTCTTGATTTGTTGATGATAGCCATTCTGACAGGAGTGAGGTGGTATTTCATGTAGTTTTAATTTGCATTTCTCTGATGATTAGTGATACTGAGCATCTTTTCATATGTCTATTGGCCATCTGTATGTCTTCTTTGTAGAAATGTCTATTAAGGTTCTCTGACCATCTTTTAATCAGATTGTTTGTCTTTTTGTATTAAGTTGTATGCGTTCCTTATATATTTTGGATAGTAACCCCTTATTGGATATATCATTGGTGAATATATTCTCCCATTCAGTAGGTTGTATTTTTGGTTGATGATTTTATTTGCTATGCAAAAAATTTTTGGTTCAATGTAGTCTTATTTTTTAATTTTTTTATTTTGTTTCCCTTGCCCAAGGAGACACACCCAAAAACTATTACTAAGAGCATTGTCAGAGAGTTTACTGTCTGTTTCCTTCTAGGAGTTTTATGGTTTTGGGTCTTACATTTAAGTCCTTAATCCATTTTGAGTTTATTCTTACATATGATGTAAGGAAGTGGTTGAATTTTACTTTTTTTGTATGTATTTGTCCAGTTTTCCAACACATTTACTGAATAGACTGTGTTTACTCCATTGTATATCTTTGCCTCCTTTGTCATAAATTAGTTTACCATACAGGGATGGGTTTATTTCTGGGCTCTCTATGCTGTTCCATTTCTCTATGTGTCTGTTTTTATACCAATACCATGCTCTTTTGATTACCATCACCTTATAGTAAGTATAGTTTCATATCAGGTAGCATTATACCTCCAACTTTGTTCGTCTTTCTCAATATTGCTTTAGCTATTTGGGATCTTTTATGGTTCCTTAAGCCTAGAATTTTAAAGGGACAAATTAACTCAACCATTCTCTCCAGACTTATCTGGAAAGTAAATCAAATGAAATCAAAGCATTTTTCTAATAAGCAAAGATGTGCAAAACTTTATTTGCTATAAAATTCTCCTTTCTTCCCATCAGTTTCTTTTTTCGAGAAAAAACAAATACCACTAATGATTTCAACACTTCTTTCCAAGGTTGTGCTATGGTAGATATTTCCCCTTCCTCTTGACCAGTAGAGACCTAATGGTTACTTGACAAAGTTGACTTTTCCCACCATCTCTCCAGGGGGCCCAGAAATGCCTAAGAAAAGGCACCTGTCCAGGGAAAGTTAGTTCTGCTAAGATTTTTCCAGCCACTCTTTTTCATATATAGATCTTGTACTTGCTATTTACACCTGTAGAAAATTATTCTTTGAAAGCCACTTGCAGTTATGAATCCCTTTCATAACTCAGAATAAATAATTGGGTAGTATTACCTGGAACTACCAGTAGTCTCCCCACCCCCACCTGGCATAGTCTTTCTTAAAGGGCTAACACCAGGTCATCTGTTGGCCTGGTGAGGGGGCTAATGGTCTGTGATATACAGCAGTTAGTTCCAAACCTTCCCCCCATATTGGATGTGACCATTTTCTATTTTGTTTGTCATATTTTAGCATACAAACATTAGAAAACCTACTGAAACACATGTATTAAATTGCTATATTTTTATAATAAATTTATGATTGAAAACCTAACTCTGACTTTATGACATACTACCTTTACAAAGATTTGTAAAAATCCTTCTGTACAGCATTGTAAAAAATAAATGTCATGAAACAAATAGTAATTACATTCTTGTTTACATTACCATTTTAAAACAATTTTCTTTAAAGTATCCTTCAAATAAGAAAAAGGTCATTTCTCTCAGTTCTAGAAAGTTCTAGAAAATGTTCGCAATTTGCCTCTGAACAAATGTGAGAGCACAGCTTCAGAAAGTTCAGCAGGCAAGGGGCTTCACCATCCAGTTTGTGAGCCAGGATCACACTGATATTTCATTATCTAGTGATCAGTATGTCTCCTTATCAAGACTGTATAAATCCTTAAAGGATTCAGTCCTGAAAAATATCTTCTGGGATGAGATTTTGTGGAATCTGTTTTATACAAACAGGAGAGGGTCAAGGTTTTGATAGATGACTAGATGGTAGATAGATGATCTGTCAACTTAGAATCTTCCTAAATGGGTTAATAACTGAGTGACCATCACATGTGTTTTCCAAAATCAAGAACAACTCAGATAAATTTCTGATGTTTATTCTTACACATTGTTACAGGGTTTCTACATATAACTTATATCTTTATCAATTAGTTTCAGAAGTACCTACAGCCTTGATTGGGACCCTTGCCCCACCTCAATGCATGTTCTTAGCTGGGGAGACCATGTCTCTCCAGTTAGAAAAGTCACTTTGGTGTCCACCAAGGAAAGGAGCTGGACTTAGTGCCTGAGCTTTGATCAGGAGCCTGCTATCCCTAAACCCAGCTCCAATATCTCCCCACTCTCCCATCGCCCAGTCAATTTTTCATGCTTTTCTGGAGCCCCCTCTGTAGGAAGTAGACAAAGGGAATTCTGCACCTCAAGGATGACCTAAACTATGACTTCTTGGCTTTTAAGACAGGGAGAGCTTTGTAACTTTCTTGGGCTAAAAAACAATCTAAAGACACCATGACAGCCTTCAGAAACCACACGGAGGGTGTAGCTTCCCTCTAAGATGTAAGCATGTATGTACACAGGAGGTGTGGGTCTTTACGACATCTGTATTGTAGAGCCGGAGGGATCTGAGGAGTCATCCATTCCAAACTTTTTACAGACGAGCGAACAAGCTTAGCCCATAACCTTGGTGAGCTGACAGAATTACAGTGTCCTTGGCCGAGCTTCCTTCAGTGATTGATTGATGGCTCTTTAATTTTTAAAATCAAAAAGCCATTGTGCCATCTCTTCAGAAAACCAAAATGATGAAATCCCTCTGATCTCCTTCTACAGGTCTGATCTCCTTCCACATTGTTCATTTGCTGAAGCAAGAAGGGAGCTCTGAGCAGCTAAAAGTGCAGGAGCTGTTGCCGTATGGTCTTCCGATCCGACCAGCCAGCATAAGTAAGGCCTCGGCAGCAGAAACAAACACTTGTGAGGCTGACAGAACTCCAAAGGGGGCTTTTTCAGAAGGAAGCCAAAACTGACTGGCTCACTGGGGACACCTGATGGTGAAACTGACCCAGCCAAATGAATAAAAACCCTTTTCATCCAAACCACAGAAGTAGAAATCCTGGTCCATCCTACTAGTAGCTTTACCTTGCTATCACTCTCACCTCAAGTGGATCTGCCTCTGTGTGTGTGTGTGTGTGTGTGTGTGTGTGTGTGTGTGTGTGTGTGAGTTTTAAGGAGAAAATAAAATGCAAACATACTTATCACAAACTATCCGAATTCACTGATGTCCCTGATATTCACCATCTGGTTTTACACATTCTTTGTTTAAAACTTAAAACTTTCTGTGAAAGTTATCGCCACCGGAGTGCCAATCACGGCAAGACTTTGCAACACTGAGCTGGAAGTGGATGGACTAGTCTTCATGTTTCACATCAAGTCTTCTTTATTGGATTTGAAGAAAGCACCCAAGTTGCAATGGGTGAACATTTTCCATGGGTGGGTGTCATTTGAATCTAGGTTTCACGTCTGTTTGCCCAGCTTATTTGAGTGCCTACCTCATAGCCATAATTTAACAGGAGAAGAAGAGACAAGGACAAGTGAGAGTGGATCTTTTGTTGGATATGAGATTCCACATGTCTTTGTAACTGTTTATATAGGTCAAGGCTTCATGCATACAGTGGCGTGCCATTTCCACAGTGCTGACATGTGCATCTTCTGTAGTGATGCTTGGAGGCAGTGGTTCACAGGACATCTAATTGTTTATAAGAAAGCTCACCAAGAATCAGAAAATAGCAGTTTTGAATCAAACCATTTCAAAAGATTTGTGGACAAGAAGACCACATGGACTTCCTTGTCAAGGCAGTCTCCTCCATGACCCACAGATGGGTTTCCTAGTTCAAACACTTTCTAGAGCAGTGTGTCTCAAAGCACATTATACCATGGCTCTACTCCAGAATCTGGGAGTGGAGTGGGGGGAGGGGAAGGAAGAAAAAGAGAAAGATGCTGGGAATCAATAACTGTTACTGAGAAGGGGACATGGAAGAAAATAAACACGAGATGGTGACACATTTCCCCTGGGCAAGGAGAGTCCTGTGCTTCTCAAGAAACAGACAGAGGGCAGAGGGCTACATAACTTGAAATCCTGCACAACTACTGCTGGCCGCTTTGCAAATAACTGTAGGAATTACAAAACTGGTAGCCTCAGAGCTTAATCTGGTTTTGACTATTTTTTTGTAATCTATAATACCAATGACCAAAGCCATGAAACCATTTCATCGAGGTTTAGAACGGAGGTTGGGAAAGCCCAGGAGTGTGCTGTTGATACTCATCATGCTGGTGCATCCTGGCTGGGTTTATAATTTAAATGAGCAACTATAGCATCATGGGGAAGAAGACTAAGCAGGAAGCAGAGTCCAGCTGTCATGCGTGGTAGGTTTTGAGGGTTTTAGAAAGGCATCATGGCCTGGAAGGGGTCAGGTATAGATAATATCTTGTCCTGTGGAGGAAAGTTCAGTTTGGCTGCCTGTCTCTACTACACCTCAGCTCTCCAATGGCAAGGTCTGTGTCCCTTTTTGTCATTTTCCTCAGCTCCTGACACACAGAAAACACTCAGCAAATACTTACCAACTGAACAGTATGAAAACCCAGCAAAAAATATACAGAAATGAAGTGGGTCCAAGAAAATGATTTCTCCAATAAGCTAAAGGCAGCAGCAAAGGAGCAACAGGGGTACCATGCTTTAAAAAATACCAGTCACAAAACAGAAGCAGGAAAAAAAAATCGAGGAGGAGGAAGCATGCCAACAGTTTGCTTGGGTGTGACAAGTAGTCAAGTCGCAAGCTTGGCCCAAGTCTCCTGAGAACATGCTAGTCTATTGAAAGGGCTCCCAATCTGGCTTAATAAGGGAGATTTACAAAGAAGGGGAGAAGAAAACGAAAAGAGTAGATTCAGAAAATAAGACCACTCCGGGGATGTTCCAGGAATACAACTTGCTGCCAGGTTTTCTGAGCTTCCAGTTTTTCTTTGGGGAGCTCAAGGTTTTGGAATAGCTGGGATCAAATGAGAATGTCTCTTACTATGAGTAGAAAGCTTACTGAGTGCTTCATTTGTACCTCCTGCTGTGGCTTAGGAAAGAGAGAGGAATGGTAAAGTGGTGCAGATGACAGGTCAGCAAAGCTGTGGGCTTGGAAGAATGGGCCCCTGTGTCACCCTGGGTGCCTGCACTGGGGCCTCCAATGAGGAGGAAGTGCTACACCAGCAGGCCTGCGGGCCTTGTGGGGAAAGGAAGACGTTTTCCCCTGGAAATATTGCAGCGTCATCCTTGTGGGACAGCTGCTTCAGGCACCAGAAGGACTCAGCCCTCTAGGCCCAGCTTATTCAGGCTTGGTTCTTCAATATAGTAATATCGAATATCTCAGCAGGTCCCCTGAGATGAATAGTTTGTGACTCCTTATTTCACAAGGCAGAATTTCTACCACATTTTGTCCAAGGTGGTTGTCAAGTTGGGGAAAGTTTAGACAATAGAAGTTTCAGATTCACAGAATCACAGGCTTATAGAACTAGAAAATATCTCCATTTTTAAAAAATACTAACCCCTTATATAATTGTTTTGTTTTGCATTGTTTTAATGAAAAAGGAAAACAAGTCCCAGAAAGATTAAGTTACTTGGCTGGCCCTCCAGCCTTCCCTACAGGCCCCAGGGTGGTCCTCCTCCAATTACTTCACTCCCATATCGAAGAGACATGCCTACCAGACCCAAATGTTCTAAAACCTGCTTTTCAGGCCTATATGGGGACTCTTCTTTGGGTCAAAGGTGGTCTTTGGTCATGCAGGCTCATGTCTACACGTGGCATATGAGGCCCCTTGGAAAACCAGGAAAGGGATGAAAAGAGGAGTAAGCTGTGGGACCGCTGGTTCTGCACCAACATAGTCCAATGTGGAACTCCAAGGAAGCCAAGAGGTCAAAATTTGAACTTAGGTCCTAATGAAGGTCATTATTTAGCAGTTTGTGAGCTGCTATTACTTTAAGAATTGAGACATAGATGGTATGAGAACTCGCAAAAGGTTCTCTCCTCAGAGCCTTTCTCAAAGCTCTGTCACACACTCAGCTTTCTGAGCAGGTGCCTGTATGGAGGCTTAGATGTGTATGTCTTGTGAGTCAAGCTTTGCCCAAACTAGTCATTGTCTTGGTCTTGTACTTTGGTAACTTTCATGAGGAACCACAGCTTATTGGATCCAAATCCCATAGTCTTGGGTCATGGTGAGTTTTAGGGGTCATAAAAGCCTTGCACAGACAATACCAGGTCAGACAGCATTCCAGGCACACAGCTGAGCAGTGCTACTAGTCTCATTTTCTACCAGAGCTCAGCAATCTCTGTGGTCTTGAATGATTCTGACCACTGAGTTGTTCTTATGGCTACTAGAGAAGCAAAGTGGTAAGACAGAAGGGAGAGAGGACTGAGGGAAGCAGAGGGGCAGAAAATATTCAGTGCTCCATGTTCTGGGACTAAAGCAGCAAACAAGACACAGCCTCTGTCTTCATGGTGTTAACATTCTCATGCTGGGGTCGCCAAACTCTCCGTAAAGGACCAGAGGGTAAACGTTTTCCACTTTGTAAGTGATATAGTCTCTGGTAGAAGCCACTCAGCTTGGCTGTTGTACCACAGAACCAGTAAACAATCCCTAATGGAACGAACACTCGAGGCTGGATTTGGCCCCCAGGCCATACTGAGCCCACCTCTCTCCTAGTGAGTAAGCAGTGGTTAGTGTTAGAGGGACAGCAAAAGCAGTTCTGGGTGCCTTTGAGGGACCCCCCATGCTACTTGTTTCCTTTCTTCTGTTTTATAGGAACTCCACTTTAGCTGGGACAGCAGACATTCAAAGATAAGTGTAAGCATGGAGAAAGTTCAGGAACTATCATTTAATATCTCTACTCTTTACTGATGCCTGAGTGTACATGATAATCCTTAGCAATAACAACCAACAGCATCCAGCCTACAGGAAGGTGGAACCAAGCCTGCATTTTTACCTGCCTGGTAGTCACTGTGTCTCATGCAACAAGATGTCTTATGGGCATAGTATCAGTTCCTACCTACACTAGCAGGTATCTGAGGCCCTGGCTCCAAACATCCATGCCCTTATAAATGAGACCCCCAGAGAGTTCCCTTGCCTCTTCTGCCACGTAAGGTTACAGCGAAAAGACAGCCATCTACAAACCAGGAAGTGGGTCCTCACTAGCATCAAATCTGCTAGCATCTTGATCTTAGACTTCAGCCTCTAGAACTGTAAGAAATACATTTTTGTTGTTTATAAGCCACCCAGTCTATGGTATCCTATTATAGCAACCCTAGTGTACTAAAATAGAGGGGAGAGGGAAAGAGAAGGCGAGAAGGACAGGAGAGAAAGAGAATATGAATAAATGAATGAATTATAGGAACCCACTCAACCCTGAGAAACAGGAAGTAGGAGGGAGAAGGAGAGGCTTCTCAAAAGGATTCATTTAATTAAGTTTTCAATATCCTGATATCCCTTAAAATTACATATAAAACCCCCACCTGGCATTAAAGACCTTTAATGATTTGTCTCCAGTCTACCCTTTAAGCTTTATTCCTTGTCAGTCTCTGTGTATGTGTTATAATTGAGCGAAACCAAACTCTTAAAAGGCTTTCATTTTCTTGTCTCCCTGTCTTTAAACATTCTCATTTATCTTCCTAGAATATCTTCCTCTCTAAATCTCACTTTAAAATTCTGTATTCAGCATTAACAACGAATTATCTACATGAAAACATCAAAAAACAAAGTTCGTTCTCTCTGTCTCATTCCATACACAAAAATAAATTCGAAATGGATCAAATTACTTTTTTAAAAATAAGCCACTTTTATTTAATCATTTTTAAATTTTGAAACAATCACAAATTTACAGAAAAGTTACTAGTATATAGAAATAATTTTTTTCTTGAACCATTTAATAGAAAGCTGCTGACCTGATGCCTTATTATCCCTGAATAGTTTGTATATTTCTTTTAAAAAATGTGTTTTTCTACATCATCACAATATAGCCAGCCATTAACGTCAGTAAATTAATATGGATAGGTCACCACCA